ACTCTTTGTTGTGATGTTTGACATGCTTGTGGATAATGTATTCTTTAGCCTTTGAACTATAATTTTATTGCATAAATTAGATATTCTACTCTTTCGTCATTACTATTTTTGTTATAGATGTGAATGAGTGTGGGGACTTCACAAATGGAGGTTGTGAGCAGCTGTGTGTGAACCATCCTGGTGGCTTTAACTGCTCCTGCAAAGAGGGCTTCACTGTAAGAACCGATGACCCCACAAAGTGTCAACGTGAGTGACAAGAGAGTACATGTTTTTCTCCACAAGATAATTTATGGATGTGTTTTTGCTTTTCAGCCATGTGTGAACCATCTTGTCAAAATGATGGTGTGTGCGTAGCCCCTAATAGCTGTGACTGCCCACCAGGTTATCCAGGACCAGGCTGCTCGGGTGAATGAAAGGGATTTGTGTTTGTGCAACTCTTTACACTGTTCTCACTGACTTCTTTATGTTTGCATTCCTGTAATGAAGTGTTGAATCTACAATTATAGATGATCGTTGGTTAGTCTTAAATTTGTTCTTCTTTCTGTGTAAATGCGGTCATATGTTTCAGCCATTTGCGCGCCCCCTTGTGCACACGGCGGCAGCTGTATGAGGTGGAACAAATGTTTGTGTCCAAAAGGCTGGAGTGGAATAGGCTGCCACACAGGTAAACACTAATAGTAAACAGTAAGTAAAGGTAAAAGGGTTCTCATGTCGTGGCAGAGTACAAACCACATTTAATGCATTATTTAAACTAATCTATTACCCCTGTGTTTTGTTCAGCGGTTTGTGAATTACCATGCGCTAATGGTGGTCGCTGTGTGGGGCCTGAAACATGCCAATGTCCCTCTGATTACACAGGGCCCCAGTGTCTATTGCGTGAGTAAGAAAACCGCTGGCACAGCTGTTTTGTTTTACTGCCATCATGCATTATTACAAAAGGCACTGGTATTTATGGTGGGAAGTCATTTATACCACGAGTGCATCTTATATGAACGTAGAAAATACTGGATCTGTTTTATGTACATAAGGCTGCTTCTCTCTGTGTGGCCTTTCAGCCCTCTGCACGCCTGCTTGTCAGAATGGAGGGAGATGTGTAGATGTGAATAAATGCATTTGTATGGGAGGGTGGCAAGGAGCACGCTGTCAGATTGGTAATGTAATTTTCATATCTGCTCGTAAATTCATATGTGAGGGACATAAACAATCTACAAAACTCATGCTACTTTCTTTACAGAACCTGTCCAGTGTCAAAATCCTTGCACTAATGGAGGAGTGTGTGTAGGCTTCAATAGATGCCACTGTGCCAAAGGATTCACTGGAGCTTACTGTGAAATAGGCAAATATAAGATAAATATTTACCAAATGGTCCCAAAAACAAATCACTCATGGATTATATTTGTTGTTGCCCTTTTAGCAGTGACTACTCCCTGCGTACCGCCCTGCCAACACGGAGGCTCATGCAGTCCTCACAACACCTGCAGCTGTGCTGCAGGCACCACCGGCCTCCGCTGTGAGCGACTGTAAGTGCCAATGTTGTTGGTGTTTGGAAACTTGAAGATGTTATGTTTAACATTAAGTGTGTTGGTTATGTTGTTTCCAAGGACATGCCCAGTTGTTACTACAATGGTCAGTATGGCCAGAGCAGTAAGGAAGGCCTTCAGAGAGAGTTATGTGGATCGCTGTGGACCTCTTGGAGTGCAGCTATGTACTAAATACAGGTAGCTGCAGTATTTCATCATAATGGTATTTTTAATGATATGTTAAAATGCTATGTGTTCTTGATTTTACAGGATGAACCAGGCACGAGTGTATGTTCAGGCCTATAGAGTGGGATATAAAATTCAATGTCCAGAAAAAAAGACATAAACCTGAAGACAAAGAACCCAATTTGAACATTTTGTGAATGTGTGGTTTTCACTGCTCGGATCTTGTAATGTTATAAAATGCCTTTTTTACTTGATTAAATTAAAATGCAACTTGTTGTATGCATCAGCTTTAATTTAGGTCATAGATCTATTACACAATAGTTTTTTTTTTTTAAACTATCTTGGAGGGAGTATTTTATTTTGAAGAATTTGGCATGTAATAATACATATATACATGATTTAAGTTAGTATTAAATAAGATAAAGATGTATTCTAATGACGTTGTGTGGACAATCAGCCTGGTTGATATGATGGCTTACGCATGCCCTTGACAGATTGAAGCCAGGCCTCTGTTGCATCTGTTGCTCGAACAGTACCTTGTTTTTCATCATAAACCATAAACGCAGTGATCTGGTATATTGATGTACAGATCTGCGTTCATTTGATCTAAACAATAGGGGTAAATGTGTTACGTGTCTCAATGCGCACAACTTTTGTAGACTGTAAATGTGTAAATTAGAACAATGTTACCCAAATTTTTTGATTAAAAAAAATCACATGGCACACCACCAGCTGAAATTCCAAAAGCCATTAAGGACAATCCAACGTCATTTTCATTATTGTAAGTGTATTGATTAGTCAAAAACACACACAATGAAAAAAGTATTTTTTTTAGACATGGTTTCTTTTGATCAGTTTGGAGATAATAGATCATCAGGCAGGCAGACCAAACAATAATGCAAGGCACACTAACGTAAAGCAGCCGATATTATAATAGATCCATGACAGCAGCACTGGTTGAAAAACACCACATCAGTCCATTGTATTAATTAGAATGAGGATGTATGAATGATTTCCAATATTGTTTACATCCCAATACAACTATGGGTTTCAAAATTATACAAGATTAGGACAACAAATAAACTATTTCACTTTAGAAAGTCATATAAAGTCATCAAAAATAATGAATTAAACAGAAACATAAAACTTTTATTTGGATATCTTATTTTGAAACCTGGTACCGGAAGTGGCGAGCCGATCTCAGCGAGTGACCTTCCTGTGCCGTGGGCTGTCTCCTGCGAGGACAAATTCATCAAAATGGGTTTTGAAGACAAGATGATCATGAATGGGGAACCAGAAGAAGTAAATGCAATGTTTTATTCTGGAACAAACAAACCGTATTGGTGTTCAGTACAGATACAACACAGAGGCTAACGGGATCAGTCATAATCAGCTTTAGTTAGCATTAGCCTCTGTTTACATCACAGGTCCCTAGTTATTCATGTCTTTTGTGTCATCTACAAATGTGGAGCGACTTGGACTTAACTTTAGTTTTTCCTTGTTTCAGGAGGAAGAAGAGGAGGAGGAAGAGGAAGACCTGGTGGTGTGTATGTCCTTGTAGCGGTGTAATGACATAACCTGATTCCGAAGGCGAGCATCCTTTTGTGAGGAAAATAATCTTTAAAAAAATATATATACATCATGAGTGAGGATAATTGATCCATAATGTTCAACTATATCACATTATCCAGACTAACAATGATTCACATTTATACAGAAATGTATTGTTACTGGGACACGTTCAGTACATTTGGTGGAGCATTGGTGGGTGCACGAGCCAAGTTTGTTTATATAAAACAAATCATGATGTATCAACATGTTATAAATTTACCTTCACAATGTTATAAATTTACCTTCACAATGTTATGAATTTACCTTCACAATGTGACAATAAGGAGAGACGTTCTTAAAGGCACAAAGACTGATGGTTGTGTGTGTGTGGTTTAGGATCCCCTGGAGTTGTTGAGGCAGAAATGTGAGGAGGCCGAGCACTGCGTCAACACTCGAGGGCGTCTGGAGGAGTGCGAGACCAGAGTGGGGTCCCGCTCTTCGACTGAGGAAGACTGCACAGAGGAGCTGTTTGATTTCATCCATGCTCGGGACCACTGTGTGAGTTATTGTGGCACATGCAGTAGAACTGAATATCACGAGCCCAAAACAACTCCAACAAATGTTTGTCAGATGGAAACAAATATATTGCAACATTTTATTGACTGGCAACAACTACTTCAACACAATAGTGGACTTGTGCTTACGTGAAACAAGGTACAAAAGGTATAGTTGCAGAAAGTAAAAAATAAAGATTGTAAATCATGAACCGACCATCTACTCAAGATTTCATTCTAATTTATGTTTTAACAAATGTTTGATATACTTCTTTGTTATTTTCCCCCTAGGTGGCTCATAAAATATTTCATTCTGTGAAATGAGACCATGGAATGGATGTGGACCCAGAGGTCGGTCGTATTGAAATGTATGTGTAATATAAGATAAGATTATTTTGTTGCCACATAGAAGTGTCTCTTGTGCTCTTTTTATCAGTTAACATAAATATTCAAGAATGCTCATTGAATTCCTTGCTCCATAGTACACAAAGTACACTATGAATCTGAGGTTTTGTTCACTCATTAAATAAATTATAATAAAGTATCTAATACATGTCATGTATTTCAATTGTGTTAAATTGTTGTAAAGTGTAAATTGTGAAGTGGTATGGGTTTACTTCAATATAGCCTTTTAGCATATGTGGAACTATCGTGTTCTATAGACAACATACTCAAGTAAACCTTCACATATATATATATATATATTATAAAAGCTCACATATGGTAAACATACGATAGTTGACTGACGGCACTGATCATTACTGTTAAAATAAAGAAATATCAATGTACTAGTAATATAATCATTAGTGACTGGCAGACAGCCCTGATACAAAACGGAAATGTGCAACACGCTGCACCGGTTTTTTGTGAAACCCTGGTGTTGGCCTTTAAAAGTATATTATTACGCATTTTTAATGAATAAATTAAAATACATAATAGCAGACATGACGTGGTCTCGTTTGTCTTACTGTGGCTCCCTCTAGCGGCCACATGCGCAAGTGCTAGTCACACCACTTGGTCAAATATTAGCATGCCCTTCCGCAAACTCCACGAGCTAACGTCAATAGTCGCCTACTCCTCCTGCACAGCCAAGAAGCCTTCCGCAAACCTGTGCAGTCACTTACAGCTTTGGACCACCCGGCGATAAGACTTAAGTTCGGAAATTCTGCACCGGGAGCTCCGTTGCACAATGACCGGGATTGAGGTGCTTGTGGCGGGCGCGGCGTGCTTGCTCGGTGGGCTGGTGGTGGTCCGGAGATGGTGCGGCTGGAGACTGGAGAAGAGGTTGACTGCAAAAGCCCAAAGGAGAAAGGAGGACAGCTTTGTGCAGGCTGAACGCGCGGTGCAGCTGTACAAAGAGTCGGTGCGTCCAAACTTTCACTCACATGTCTGATCTTTTATCGAGAAGATATTTATATTTAGAATGAGTCCAAGCATTATGTGGAGACTCTCCACATTTTTTTTAATGATGATTATTATTATTATGTACCATGGCCAATGCCAGGGTAGATATGATTTTGAAATATGGCAGAAAAATATAATAATTCTTCTTTTCTTCTCCTTTCCTTCATGTAAATGTTTAAGATATATATGTAACTTTTATTATGTGAACAAAGCATTTTCATGAAAGGAACAAATAAATAAGCACAAATGCAAAATAGAATTACATTTATATTCTTGCTGGTGGGTGTTATTAGGCTGTAATTAACTATTATTTTGATAATTGATTAGTTGGCCGAATACTCTTTTGATTAATCGTTAAAATAAAAGTTAAGATACTGAAAGGTCACTGAATATGGGATTTCTTTCCTACAGTTTGTCAAACAAAGTGAGTAACAAGTCATGGCCCGTGACACATTGGGTTGGGTTTTATAAAAAAAACAAACGTCTGCACATTTCATTCTGCAGTCATTTTAGAATTGTCTGAGTCTTAAAACGTCTTCTCAGCATGTTTTGGTCTATGGAAGGTTAAAAGAAACCCATTAATCTCTCAAAATTAGTAAGTAATTCAATATTTGATTAGTTGCGATTAGTTGACTAACTTGTTTCGGGCGTATTTCAATAGAAACATAATGATGACAATAGCGCTCATTTGTGCTACATATGTTTAACCGTTTGGGATCCTTAAAGGATGTCATATTTCTTACATTGTTTATTTGATAACTAGTTTTTCATTACTTAGCAACTCATCATGGGTGTACTGGATGCACCAGTTGTCACTAAGACAGGTTGTTCTAATCCAAATCAGGACAGAAAGTTAAACTCAAGTTAATGTCAAAACTGCAGAGGAAGGGACAGGGTTTCAGCTGAGCCTAAAAAATAAAAGGCAACTCAAATCTTCTACATTTAAAAGAAAAAACATTAGCGGTGCATATCGTTTGTTATAAATATTTCTGTATTATGGGGGACATCTTTAGAGGTTTACTGTAATTCTGTGTATGTTGCCAGCTTTATAAACTTATGGTGATTTACATGATCAAATATTGTTTTTTTTAGCATCCCATGACAGACTCCAGTTACATCCTGAACCTCTCTTTGTTTGAGCTTACACAACAGCTCCAGGAGGGGGCGCTGTCTCCAGAAGAGGTCTTTTACACATACATGGAAAAAGTATGTCACTCCTGGTTTCCCCTTTTCTCTTTAAAAAATATAAAAATCACATATTATTGACATATTTTGTTTTGATACAGACACTTGAAGTACAGAGCAAAGTGAACTGCTGCACTGAAATCATCTTGAACAGTTTTGAGCAGGTAAAGACAATTGGGTCTGACAAAAAGGGCATCTTATATGGAGTTCCTGTCAGCCTGAAAGAAAATTTGTGTCTAAAGGTACAATTTTCTTTTTGATATAATGAAGCTAACTTGAAGAAACCGTTACAAACATGAATCCATTCCATACAGGACTGTGACTCTTGCTGCGGACTGGTCAGATTCTTAGACCAACCTTCTGACGATGACTGTGTGCTGGTTAAGGCTTTGAAGAAGCAAGGAGCGATCCCTTTTGTGCGGACCAACTTTCCACAGGCTTTATTGAAGTAATTATGTCTGTATTGTATGTTAAAGCTTGGGTACCTAACTTTACAACCATAACGAAATGGAACTATGTAATCAGATCTACATATGCAACCTCACTCTCGAGGCACTGTTCTGTCTCCTCACGATAGCTCATTTGGACAGACTGTGCCACAAAGCATTGCTGCTTTGGCTTAATATTGGCTTAATATTGCGATATTGAAACTATTTGATGGCACTGTTGAGAAATAAAAAAGAATTGATATATCCATCCATTTTCTACCCCTTAATCCATCTCTGGGTCAGGGGGGTGGCAGTCAGAGATGCCACCCAAGTCACAGAGCACCAGCCCCTCACTGACCCTCTGCAGGTGGTGAGTCCACAGGAGGACGCTGCATGATCTCTCAGCGGGGGCTTTGGGCAAAGTGGGGTTAAGTGTCTTGCCCAAGAACACAACGACAGCAGACATCAGTGGGAGTCGGTGGAGAAGGTATCAAGGTGGGAATTGAACCCACGACCTTCAGGCCTTAAGGTCTATGCTCTACCAACTGAGCTATACTGCTGAATTGATATACATTTCATTAAAAGCATCCGCTATGAGAATAATTAGTTGAATGAATTCATCTTTAATCATCTTGAACCCTGTACAGTTAAAACTTCACAGTTTTACAAAAAATGGAAATGTTCTTTTGCAGAAAGTTATAGACGATAAATATTGAGGCTAAAAAAATATTGCTTTATCCAACATCTATTGAACGATCAGTCCATATAGTCTAATTCTATCACTAGTTTTCAACAGTGTTTTTGGCCTCTGTCATCTGGACATCTTTAGATCAGCTTTTTCAGACAGAAAAGTGAAAACGAGAGGACCACCCTCACTTGGCCAATCAGTTCTTTGCCCAAATAGTTAAATAGTGACTCCCAGGGCTCCAAGAATTAGAGTATTAGAGTACTTACATACTTAAGTATGTAAGTAACCCCTGCTTTACCATATTCTAACTACTTTATGAACACTTCACAATCCAATATATTTACCAGTGGAAATGTACCTTTTATTCCCTTTTCCCCTTTGCAGCTATGAATGCAGTAACACCATTTATGGACAGACCCTGAACCCATTTAATCTCAAGAAAACCTCTGGAGGGTCTTCTGGCGGAGAGGCGGCCCTGATTGGAGGGGGAGGCTCCTTGATCGGCGTGGGCACTGACATCGGAGGTAGCATTCGTATCCCTGCTTCGTTTTGTGGCATCTCTGGGCTCAAGCCAACATCAGGTCGATTGAGGTAATTGACATTTTGCCTTTTTATGACTTTACACCATTTTCTCACCCATCATCTGTACTTCTTTGCAGGTTTTCCCGACGTTTTGTCCTCAATCCAAAGGACTTCTTCAGGGAATGAATTCTCAGACTGCGCGTTGGAGATTTATAACCTATGGGTGGGATTTATAACCTATGGGTGAGACCTTAGATTGTTTATGAGTTAGTATCAGGATTAGCGTGTGGCTAACCACACCCTTAGGTTATACATCTCCAACGCGCGGTCCGAGAATTCATTCCCTGAAGAAGTCCTTTGGATTGACGAAACGTCGGGAAAACCTGCTAAGAAGTAGAGATGATGGGTGAGAAACCTTCCTTTGCTTTGACTAATCCCTGTACGACTGAGGACTTACACAAACAAGTTTACACCATTTTATTGCTTTACTATGCATCTGCCCTATTTAGCTCCCTGGGTCTTAAAAGCACTTACAGAGGGCAGAAGACAGGTGAGATGAAAACGCTTGTATACATGAATCACTTATTAAAAACCACAGAAATGATTGAAAGAAAAGTTTTGGTGGACTTTGTCTTTACCACTTAATGAATAACAGTGCGGACGACTGCTGGTCCGATGGCGAAGGATGTGGACAGTTTGGCTTTGTTCATGAAGGCTGTACTTAGCGAGGACATGTTTTCCCTGGATCCATCTGTTCCACCGCTGCCATTTAACGAAGAGGTGTGTATTTGGGCACTAAACATCACATGACAAATTGAAAGGACCATGAAGTGGCAAACTACACTTTTTTATCTGGTATTTTACTTCAATATTTATCATTCAAACACATAACACAACTTTCCACACCTTGAATTTCACAGACCAGTGCACACATGCAAATCACAAAACTCAAAGTGCAATTTGGTCTAGATTATCCTTTATCCAGTAAGATAAATTACCACATTTGTTATTTGGTTAGCCATGCTTCTATGATTATTAATGAAGCTATGAAATGATTAGCCAGGCATTTAAGATCCTCGATACAGGGTTTGGCTTTCGATGACGCAACCACACACTCTCCTGCGACATCTTTTAAACTGGGTAAAAGCCTCTGAACCTGGCCTCCTCCATCTACACCTGCGGACTGCCCTGCCCGACCTGCCTGGGAGCGCTTCAGTCCTGCACCAGACCTGCCCACGTTCTGAGGCCGCTGCGTGGCCTTGGTTCTCGTTCTGTAGCTTAGGTCCTGGATCTAGAGCCCGTCTGTCCGTGTGGAGCAGATCCCTCTCAATGTGGATCTCCCCAACGTTTTTCACTTTTTTCTTTCTTTCACTTTAACATTCTACAACATGTATGACATTTATCAACATTTAAGGACATTGCTCTCTCTCTCTATGGACCAATTCATATGTGTATATTTTGTGTCTTAACTGTTGATTCTCTGATCTGTGTTGGTGATCTGAGATGACTGCTGTTTTGATTTAGGGCTATACAAGAATAAATTGTATTGTATTGTGGTAGTTGTAGTTTCATCCTCAAAAGTTTTGCTGAGTTCATTAATCATAAATCAATGTGTTTTCTGTATTTCTTGCAGGTAATCTTTTTATGTGTAAATATTTTGTTGCCTTGGAATATTTCCTTGAGTTTTGTTACTGTTACAGGCACAGATAAAACATACTGTAGCTACAACAAAACTCTACAACGTCTGCTGTCTCGCCTTGGCTAGTTTATCCTGTGTGTGTGTGTGTTTTCTCCAGGTGTACCGAAGCAAGAAACCCCTGAGAATTGGATATTATGAAGAAATTGAGTCAATGCCAATATCGCCGCCAATGATTCGAGCAGTGAAAGAAGTCAGGGCGTTATTAGAGCGAGCAGGCCACACTGTAAGAACATCCCACTTCAACACATTTGAATTCAGCTGTAAATCTGGTGCTTTTCCGCTGCAGCTGGTGCCGTACAAGCCGGTGAGAATCCCTGATCTCATTGAAGGAATGGCGAAAGGCGTCTTGGCAGATGGCGGAGCATCTTTTCTGAAACAATTGTGAGTTTTTTTGTTTCATATTGACTTTTTGCAGAAGATTGTTTGTTGCAACAAGAGAATGTTTCTTCATTTTTTTGCTTATATTTTACTATTTTTGTCAAGGAATGGAACAACGATCGATCCAGTTCTTAAAGCTCAGGTGTTTCTTTACCGGATACCAATTTGGTTGAAGAAATTACTTGTCATCATTCTTAAACGTTTGGTAATGTTTGATCTTGATCTTTTGAAGTCTCAAAAGTTTGCATTATGTTCTTACAATCTATTTGTCTATAGTTGAAACAAGTTGATTATTGACATAGTTGATTTGTTGAACCTCCACATAAACATAAACATGCTGAGAAGAGGTTATGACTCAGATACTTCTCTAATGACTGCGGAATGTAATGGAAACTTGTTTACAAAGTATTTTTAATCAAACAACCCAATTGCCCAACCCAAAAGACATGGACAGTACACTCGGTTCTCAGCATGAAGGTTCTATAGTTTTAATCCTGGTCGGAAGAGGGCCTCTCTGAGTGGAGTTTGCATGTTCTCCCCGTGTCTACTTAGGATTCTTCTGGGTGCTCCGGTTTCCCCTACCTCTAAAAACATGTACAATAGTTTAGGGTTAATGAGTGCGAAGTTCCCAAACAACCCGACTCCGAGAAGACCTGACCCCGGCGCAACGGGGTCAGGTCCCACCTCTGCACCTTCTCCACCGACTCCCACTGATGAATGCTGTCGTTGTGTCCTTGGGCAAGACACTTAACCCCACTTTGCCCAAAAGCTCCCACTGAAAGATCAAGGCTATGCTCACACTCAGAGAGCAGCCGTCCTCCTGTGGACTCACCACCTGCAGAGGGTCAGTGAGGGGCTGGTGCTATGAGACTTGGGTGGCATCTCTGACTGCCACCCCCCTGACCCAGAAATGGATTAAAGGGTAGAAGATGGATGGATGGATGGATGGAGTGCGAATGTGGGACGACGAATGCAAATCAGCCCAAGACAACAATCCAGAGAGCTGTGCTCATTAACATGCACTGTCCCAACCAAATAAACAATAAATAAATCTCATATTCACTAACCTTTTGGGATCTAAATAACTACTTGATTAATCGCAAGAATTGTTAATTACAGCCCTACATCGAGACCCAACTAGTGGCATGCTTATGGGGGCTTTCTACTACTAATAATTCATACTGATAATATTTTATTTTGTATTTGACTCTGCAGCTCCCTGTTGAAGCGCAGTCACTGCAATATCTGACCGGAGTAGGGTGAGCTACACATTTTGCTCGATTCCAGCAGATGAGCAAATGCATTAGTTCCTTTTAATTTATTAAATCAAAAAACATGTTTTCTTTAGGTCTGTTGCTGGTCTTTGGAAACTGCACGCTTCAATAGAGGTGAAGAGGTGGTATCACATTTTATAGAAAAATGTTTTTGCTGCATTATCAAGCATTTATGTTTCTAGGACTGTGTAAAAGACACGATCGCAGAGTGGAGACGACTCAGAATAGATGTTGTCCTTTGCCCAATGATTGCACCAGCCTTCAACTACAACTATTGTGGAAAGCTGAACTGTATGTTGCAAGACAAAACCACATTTCATTTGATTAATTAAGTCGTGGAATGGAGTTTACATATTATTTTCATCAATATTTCTATTGTTATTATTTCCAGGTATGCTTTCATATACATCACCGTATAATGTTCTGAACTTTAGCGCTGGTGTTGTGCCCGCTACTACTGTGACTGCACAAGATGAAGAAAACCTCAGACCCCTTGCGTCAGGGAATCGATTTCAACGGATTTTATATCAGGTGAATAGAGGAATATGTTAACTCTGTTGCCAGCAGGTGGCGACAAAGAGCCATCAATCATTCTGAATACTGTGCTGTTTGTAGGCTGCTGTGGGAGGAGAGGGTCTTCCTGTTGGTGTGCAGTGTGTGGCTCTACCCTGGCAGGAAGAACTTTGCCTGCGCTTCATGAAGGAGGTGGAGGAGCTCGTCAACAAACACAAAATTAGTGTTCAAAAGGTTAGGAAAGCCATGATTTTGAAAGTCCTACATTTTCACCTAAGTTCTTAAAGTGATGCCGCATAGAGTTAAAGGTGAGGACCCCATGAAACCGTTTGCGGGTGGTGAGCCCACAGGAGAGCAGGCTCCCTGGCTGTGTCATTCCGGGTGAGGTAATTGTCTTCGATCGTTATGGCAGATAATGGCTTCATCAAATCAAGACCATCAACAGTGGAACAGTGTGCCACAGAGTGTGCGACTGTGATTCTTCAAATCCTCATGGTTTCTTAACCAAAAAAAGGTGCCTTGCCCAGTTTAGGCGGAGAGGACCTAGTCATCTTGAGGAAATGTATCTCAGGTCTTTTTCACACAATGCAGCGTGTGCAGTGATACGGTCGCTGTATCAGAGAATCCATTTCCCACCCTCACCTGGTCATGAGCTTTGGCTAATGGCCAAGAGGACAAGATCACGGATTCAAGCAGTCGGGTTTCCTCTGTCACATAGGCATGTGTAGAACTGGGGATGGACAAACAAAAACAGACACAGGATCTATACAGATCTCTAAATATTTTGATCACTTATAGAGACAATGTGTCTTTCTTTCATACTTACTTCTTGTTTTTCAGAAGTGAAAGAAGACAGAAGTGTGGTGGCAGAGCAGGCAAAGAGCTGGAATTGAGAGGTAGTTCTTAGTATTATCTGTGGCACTTGGAGCAGCTCTGACTGTGCCACTCAGTCAGGGAGCGCTAAGCTTTCAGCGCTTTCCAAGGTCTTCAGAGAAAACTTGACATTGTTCCTAAATCCCTCAGGATCCAAACTGAACTTGTAACACGCACACACTCCACACACTGTATTCACATCGCTTTGTCTACACTTTTGCATGTTGTTAGCATCTGTTCCACTCATGCCTTTTACTATTAGCATATCAGTTTCTTCATTCCATAAATTTCCCCAAAAACATAAACCCTAAAACTACATTTCATTCATTTTATTAATTTATTTTTAAATTAATGTGCACGTATTTCACTTTAGAAATTAGAGATTTCATGATGAAGCAGAAATTGCAGGTGTTTTCTAATAATTGACTGAATTATTGTTCGCACATGGAATAAAGTTATTATTAACGTATCTTGATTCAATATTTTTATTTGAAGTGTTTATTTAAACAAATGTGGCCCTTTTTGAGTATTAGTGAATAGGAAAGTTCACTCAACACAATTATGAAAGTAAATGAGGTGTAGACGCAGGTACAGACTGAAGTGTTGGAGGAGACACTTTTCTGTAATGATTCTGCAGAGATGGCCCTGACTTTGCTCATGTAACGTCTCATTGGTAAGAGCAGAAAACACCTCATTTACACAAACCTTAGGCTGTAAGATCAGATACTTTAAAAGCCATCCCAACACATTGAACCCTGCCTGCGCACTACCAAATAAAACACCTTGATATTGCTTCAACTAAACTAGGATGATTCTGTCTTAATGTCTCATTTCAGGGACCAAGGAGCTCACGGTCTTTATGACTGCAGAGAATTGCACATAGCAATGTTTGACACAGCAGGAGACTACCTTCTGAGATGATCAAAGTAGCAAGTTCAGCCAGCAACCAGAGCCACTTACAGCAGACATCACGAAGCGCAGTGATTGGCAGCTTTTAGGTCTTTGGTCCATTTCATGAGCCATTACAAGCACAGAGGTAACATGCTGCGCAGGACGTGTGGGAGGAGGTGAAGGCAGCTTACAGACAGCTGATACAGGTGTATAGGCGGTATCCAACAGCAGAGCTGTCAATGCAGCAGCCCACGGGTTTTTTTTTTTTCCTGGAGAAGTTAGACGACTGATTTAACTATGACAGGATTAGCCAGGAGCTTTGAATTATTCTCTCAGATTCTGTGACTCAACAATTCAGTGATCCACATACCACCAGCTTTAGAGGCCCTATCCCAAGTTTCAGGAGCTTACCCTTTGGACAAGGGCTACTTTTCTCTCTCGCATCCAGGCCTGCTTTTCCTTTTTTGCTGCATTCAGTTGTTCATCAACCCCGAGTCCACGCCAGCTCTCCCATCCTCCTTTCTCTCCACATCTGCTAGGTTTGAGTTTTTCTTTCTTTCCTCTAGCGCTGAGCTTGGCCCAAGGCCCTTATAGCCAAATTGGTTTACATTGGAGAGATAAATGCTCTGCAAATGCGCTTAAACACGTACAGTAAAAAATGCAGACAGTGCGTGTCAGGATTATCACCGAGTCAGGGGGAGAAAGGCAAGCGTCTCAGTAGCACAAAGCTGGAGAACCAGAGAGAAGCTGCAGATAGACTTCGTCTCATCCACATCGCGGGAGAAAGAGAGAGGGATTTAGCATTTGCATGCTGGTCTGTAATTCTTGGCATTATATAACATGTCATCAACAATTAAAAATCCAATGGCTTAGAGACAGGATTGTTTCGCATAGGTGAGAAAACTGTAAAATAGACAAAAGGCACACGAACCACCCAGTGTTCAACATGATCGTTTATCATTTATTTTGATTTCTACATGAACTGCAGGTAAAGGTGTGTGTCCACCTGTTCTGCTGTCTGCTGGGGACACTGAGCTGTGGTTCTTACTTTAGTGTTCAGCCACATGCTTCACTGAGGGGATTTGGATGTAAAACTTCCAAGAAAGACCACTGTCACCCCCTCTTTTAGTCCTCCCTCTTTCTCATCTCCATGACCTTCCCCGCCTCCCAAATCTGTGCCACCCCCAGACCTCCCAACACAAAGGCCTGAGAGCAAACCCGGCACAGAAATCATAGCACACCATTCAATCATTGTTTTTTCCCCCCTCTCACCCCTTTATGGTCCCAATAAAGGTTTTAGCCGGGCAGAGAAGGAGGGCTGTCACTGAGGAAACCTTAGCCCATTGATGAAGTGACAGGAGCTGCCAGAATATGATCCTAATCCTGTTTCTAGCATTCTTTTGGCCCGCTGGCATCGCAATTCCTCCACACATTCTCTGAGCTGTCAACGAGGAAAATCCCTCTAATAGTGCATTGCCCAGATACACATCAAAGAGCTCCTGGAAACCTTCAGCGGCTTAGCTGCCAAAGACACTCTCACAGCCACAACCTTCCCCTTTCCTCCTGCTGTCTGCGAGGAGCCAGGAAACACGTGCATGGTGCATGGACAGTGCCGTCAAGTGCCTCAACTGTGCTGGCTTCTATTGTATCTTTATGTTTTATTAATTGTGTTTTCGACAAAGGATAAACCTCTCCTACTTCTTGCCATAAATGAATTAATCTTTATAATAACCTGGAAAAAAGCGGGAAACCCTCGGAGAAAACAGGTGTCTCAACTTTGCCGACTTGAAGAGCTCTTTCAGTCCCATTTCATCTCATTCTATTCTTACTTAATCCATCGATATCCCAACCAAAGGTAATCTTCTTATGGCAAAGCGTTCTGTTTCGGTGCAGCCAAACCCCGGCTGACAGGGCGAGGGGGAGAGGGGGTTCTGGTGGGAGTTTCAGCCTGACACTGTGTGTCACTCACTTCATTTAAGATTAGATTTTGTTGAAGCTGAACAAGTGCTCCGCTGTGCTGCTTTAGGAGGCCTCCTGTGTGGAAATGATACTCGGCTCGTCAAGGTGTGCACAGGTCCAACACTCGCAGCCACAAACAAGTGGGAATGTGAGCCGTTAGAGCATGCTCCTTTCTTCACTCACCAACATTGTTACATAAGTTGTTCTTATAAAGTAACAAGACAATCCAATTTTCACTTGAAGTTTATTCATTTGCATTAATGATAAATTACTCACATTTAAAACAATTCTGAAGTATATTTACAATACATTTACAGTGATATATTCCATGACTTGTCTGTATTTCTGTGTGATTCTCACCAGACAAAAGCCTTCGTTTTGCATTAGCATGATTCATTTTGAGTTAACAAAATAAAACATTTGCTTTTCTTTTTTTTTTTAAACCATGGAGTGACTTCAACCATGTTTACAGCAGCCGTGGAGTGCAATTTTACAGAAATATTGTATTTACAATGTTCATAGGCTCTACTACAATTTTCCCCAGGGACTTGAAGCTTTTGATTGACTGCTGTAATCCAAGCATTCATGCAGTGTTCACAAAAGTGATTTTGAATAAGTTACTTTCTGTAATTGGGAGCTGTGAGCATCTTGCAAGCTCCATGTTAAAAATGTGCGAAAACCAATTCTCCTCAGACACTTGCTTCTGTTTTTTTCCAGGCAAAATAGTGTTTTGAGATGAACAAATTGCAAAAGTATATTGATCACTAATGATTCAATCCGGATTCCAAAACAACATACTAAAGGTTCTAAGAATCTGGTTGGTCGTCATGATCCAAGATGTGTTTCAATGCGGTCAGACGACTATGCCTGAACAGGCTCACAGTCAAATTCCCTCTTCATCCAGTCACAATGAAACTCTGGCTGTATCCTTGAAACTTATTTTGTTGTTGTATTACAGGTCTCTGTGAAAATAAATGTTTGGTTCTCAAATTAGCTAAACACTAATTAAATATTCCCAAAAACATGTATAATCAAACTAATTTTCAACAAATGGATAGATGACGTTTCATTGTGATTGGAGTAAAGGGAAATATGCAGCCCATATTGAAACACATTTAAAACCAGGATTTCATTGAACTTCCCAAAATCAGGTAGACGTCCTGGCCTTCATGAGCCGGTTCAGTTGGGGAGCGTGTCCAGTCCCAGAGAGGCCGCGTGCTGCTTTGCCCTCAGCCTCAGGTTCTCTATACTCGTGGTCTTACTGTTCAGACTCCCTGGAGCTGGCTGCAGTAGCGGGCTGTTCCACACCTGCTGAGCCTGGGACAGCGTCTGATAGTAGGACTGACAAGGCAGGGATCCCAGGGGAGCAGGCATGTTGACATTCATACCCAGATAGGGCAGGGAGGAGGGCGCGCTCATGTCGAAGGGCGGGTAGTGCACCATGTTGTTGGTGGCTGCCATGTGCTGCCGGAACTGCTCCTGCAGCCGAAACAAGCTGAGGGGCGAGGAGGCGTAGGAGTTACTGCTGACCAACCCACTGGACACACCGCTGGAGGAGGGCAGGGCCGGGGAGCTGAGAGGAGAGTCTGCAGGGGAGGAGCGGAGGTTAGAGATGTATCACAGGTACAGTCAGACGGATGAGGTCAAAATACTTAGGGCCATTACAATATCAACATGTCTTTAGCAGTATCTTTATATCTACAGGTGAAACTCCAAAAATGAGGATGTTGTTCTGTTTTAATTCACACTCTGTCTCTCATAAGTTTCACAAGTAAAGTTAAAGACTTCTAAACAATATTGTAACTTTACGAATTTCACCTGCCTTTTCCTTCCATCCTCCTGTTCACTGCACTATATGACCAGCAATAGCAAGACTCAATACTCTATATGTCCTTCTCCTGTTTGTATTTTTGTACAGACTTCTGAGTAGATCTGCAGCTATACATTATTTTAGTGATCCTGTGATTATTTTAGTAATTGGGTGCTCTGTTAACTTTTTTCCCAACAAAACATCTTTAAATAAATATAATTAATTAGTATGTATTATATATAGGCTTAAGCCAAAAAAAGTTGAAACATTTTTTTTCACTACACACAAACAGTGCTTATTCACATGGTTTTGTGTAATTATAGAAAATAACTATTTAATTGAGTACATTGTAGGCAAAACTAAATGAATCGTTTCGTTCATATTTCAGAGTGGTAAGTAGTATCTTAAGTATATGCCAAGGTTCTGGGTGTTTCCTAAATCATTTTGATATTTAGAACTTCGTACTTTTATGTGGAAAAGAAAATTTAAACGTATTGCAAAATAAGACCAGCAAAAAGCAGACAATTAAAAATCGTTCTAATTGTAATTACAATCACAGACAATTGCTTTTCTGTAATTCAGCCTAAAATGTGAAACTAGTGTATGCAAAGTGACATAATCCTTGGTTTGCTTTAATTTAATCTTGGTTTACAGTCCGACATAATTCTTATTTTCTGAGTTTCACCTGTACATGGCAAAAACATACAGAAGTCTAAAGCAGACTACAAAAAACACATCATAGCAATAATGTGTAATGGTTAATAATTAGTTTGTTTTTCTGTGTCTTATTTCTTATGTTAGTGTGAACTAACTCTAATGCTGTAATGAACCACAGCTGTCCCGTCTCGATTCCCCCATGGTCCCAGTGTCTGAGCCTCACCTGAGCTGGGACTGAGGCGCTTGCAGGACGGAGAACTGCTTGCTGGGTGCGCTGTCTCCTGCGCTGAGACCTCCCCCTGCACCTCCCCCAGGCCCCGCTCCAGGCTCCGGTCCAGGCTCCGGTCCAGGCTCCGGTCCAGGCTCCGGTCCATGCTCTCTCCTCTGGGGCCCTCTTCTTCTCTCTCAGCACCCTCTTCTGCCGCTGACTCGCTGTCCGATGGCTCCGGAGAGGTGACGTTCACTTCCACGCTGGTCTCTGCCTGAGCTGGGTCTGAGTGACAGGAGGTGGACGAGGGGGGAGGAGGGTCAGCGCTCTCAGTCTTGGGGTCCTCTGTGGATGTCTCGGTGGAGGTCTCAGTGGAGGTCTCTGTAGATCCAGATGCCTCCTTCTGCTTCTGCAGCTGCTCCTTCTGCAGGCTGCGCTGCTTCTTGCGGAACTTTGCCCTGCGGTTCTTAAACCAAACCTAGACCATGTCAAAGAGAACACATTACTTCACTTTGTCTCAAAGTGACCATGACCATGATGAAGTCAAATTGTTAAGTTGTTGAAAGTAATGCATTTTCAATTTTCCTAAGTTATGCTTGTGATATTTTAATATTTTTCCGGAGTCCAACAATATGTCAGTTCAATGAAAATGTCTTAAAATGTATTAGTTTAAGTTTGCGTAACATTAAAGGGGAAAAGCTTACAATGATTTTGGAATCTTTTCACATTTTGTTATCAATTTCTATATTTTTGAACTAATCTTTTTGCCAATTTTGTATAATAAACAATACAATTAATATTCATATGCTTTCTACATTCAGTCATCATTTTTTTTAGAACAATTCATTCATATTTAGAGCATCCAGAAAAATAAAATCTTTATATCTATAACAAATATGTTTGACAAACTACTCTAGACAGTAACATGAAGTCATTCTAATTTTAGGTTATAATCTAGCTATACAAACAATTCCATTGCTTGAATAAGCCTTGTAATCCTTGCTGCAACAACATGCATAATATGATTACAGAATTATTATTTTTTTTAGTTTTTTTAATACGGGATTTAAAAACTTACTTTAAAATTTACTAATAAGTCAGTTATGTTTGAATATAATTTTAGACATCCAAAAGTAATCATTATAAAAGTTAAAACTATAAATAGCTGAACTGTTCGCACCTGTACGCGGGCCTCGGGCAGGTTGGTGCACATGGCCAGCCGCTCCCTCATCACCACATCTGGGTAGTGGGTCTTCTGGAAGGTCTTCTCCAGAGCCTCCAGCTGCTGCGCGGTGAAGGCCGTGCGGCTGCGGCGCTGCTTTCTGTGCTGGGAGCCATAGCGGGCCTCGAGGATAATATCTTGAAATGTGCAACCGTTGAGAAGAAAGAAATAGAAGTTTAATTGAAGCTCTGAAGGGGTCCAAACATGTACACACTTTACAGACACTAATGCATGTGTTTAAGTTCATCATAAGGAAAGCAGGTGGTGTTTTGCTTCTCTTACCAGCCAGTCTCTCCGCCAGGGTCAGTGCGTGGACCGAGGGCCTGTAGTCAGGGGCGTGCTGGGCCTGCTGCGCCGCCTGCTGGTGGAGATTGTACATGGCACTCAGCGAGTTCATGGCGTGAAGTGAGTATCCGTTCACCCCGTAGTGCTGCATGATTTATATCTGGAAAACACCGAACACAAATTCAAATAGGGACGAGTTTCCATAAGAGAAAATACACATACATTACTGATATCAAACTGCAGCAAAAATATAACATTTATGAAGAGCTGTGAATGTAATTAAGCAACAGGTAATCCCCATTCAGCTACGGATAAAGTTATGGACAAATTGAACGCAGTAAATATGTACTTAATATATTAGGATTAATAAGAAATTATTTGACATTATTTATAAGATTTGAAATTGTAATAAAGAGATAAAATAATGAGGGGAGTTTGCTGTATGAGATGTCTTATTTTTGTATGTAAAGAAATACAATTATTAAATGTACATTGGTGAACACAATCAATGAAACCAAACGGACATAGAATGATGTTTGAAATTGGAAAATATATACACTATTATTTAGCCAAATATGCTATAAATAATACATATTTTAACACAATCAATACTTTGTTCCAATTATCTTATCTAAAATAATAATGCTCTCATGTAATCTGAAATGGTACACAGTATTTTTGTGCAGGGTGTCCGCGCTCAGCACTTTCCTCGCGGGGATATTTATTATAAATATGTATTTTCAGTTTGAGAGACAGACGCAAATTGAGTGCGTTTAGTGTTGGTCCCAGGCCAGTGAGGGGTCCCGGTGGTCTCCTGTCTAATGTGCAGCAAATAGCTCTCAAATATATTACAAGAGTCAAGACTGTTCATTTATTATACGCCTGTGACACGCAGAGGGCTGACGTGGTATGAAATATACGCTTTTCTTTGCTGCACTATTATTATAAAGCAGCCTCTGGCACAATCTGTAATGTGGCGCATTTGTAAATCTTCAACTTAAAATTCACCATAATGCTCTTTTCTCAGGACAATGCGCTGGCCCCGGGCACAGTGTTAAGCCTAATTATGCTAATTGTCGTGGATTTATGAGTTAAAGCAGTTACTAAAGATCTGCCTGCAGGTCAAAGCGGCAAACTGAAGGATCCTGAAGCGTTGTATCTGTTTCTTTGAACAAGTTAAAACCAAGTGACAGTTACAGGGTAAACTAAAACACAGCTATGTCAACATGTTTTAAAATGTTTTACACAGATCAGACAGAAAAGTAAACATCATGACGACATCTTAGAAACTCACCTTAGTTTCTGGTGTGTTTTCCAGGATAAATATTCCAGTGCGCACAGATTATGTCCCTCTGAAGGTTTGCTGCTGAAAAGTCCTGCTGCTCATGTCCCGGACCATGTAGTGTCCAGTGCGTCTCCAGCCGCTCCTGTCTTCTACACGTACCCTCAGACGTACACGTACACACAGACGCAGACCACAGCTCTACAGCCTCTGTGCTGTAAACATGTGCAGGATGCTGAGCTCGTGCGCTCCTGTCTCGGCCTTTAACAGCGCGTGGGGAGGCGCACGCGCTTCGACTCTCAGCCAATCAGAGTGCAGCTCCACGCCCCCCGAAGCTCCACGGCATGAGTCCGGTCTATGGTCCAGGTCCATCAGGTCCCATGACGAGCAGGACTGTAGTGTCCAATGAGCACTTTATGATCAGCTCTAATGATTCCAGGAGGATCCATCACAAGAGCAACACATAACAGTATGTGTTAGTGACGTCAGAGCAATGGCGTCAGGATGGACAGACCGGACTAACTACAAACTCAGACTGGACATCAGGCAAAATCAAGTACATCATTTATAATTATTTAAACACAAATGTAGAAGAGGGTTAAACTTCCCGAGATATTTCCACACCTTTGTCTGTATGACTTAAACATGTGTGATAACAACTCGTGAAAACATTAAAATAAAATAAAACACAAGAAAATAATGCCTCAAGGCGCTTTTGTACCCATAACCCTCCCCCAATAAATAAATAAAAACACAATAAAATATTTTCTTCTACGTCCATGTTATATGTTGCTTATGATTCTAAGCTCTTTGAAACAAGCTGAAATCTGCCTTTTCATTGGGTATTGTTTTACTAATCACAGCAAATTCAACTATCGCTGAACTGCTTTAATTGATTTGAAATGGTGACCGCACAATCAACGCATGTTTGTCCCATGAACATTTCTACAACAGTGAACCTTTGTTTGAACCATAAATGCATCGTGTTTTCCTGTGATTTCCCTTTCAATGATTTAATTATTTGTTGTGGTTTTGTGATTGGAAGTGTGCAGCTGACGGAGAGCCCAGTGCACGCCAGGCCGCTGCCTCCCGGATCCCTGCAGGCCCCGAGGGATTTGGGTCGGATTGGGAAGACAAGACGGCATTTCACCCTCCGAAAATGTCTTAAAATGACTGCTGGTAAGAGGATTAAAACAATAATGCTCCTCTCTTCTCCAAGGTTTTTAGAAAAGATTTCTTCTACCGAGGAAAAACCGTTTAGACTGGAATTAAGGGCAGCGCAAAGTAGCCTTTTAATGTAAAGCTTGCATATTGTGCTGATTTTTTTTTGTTTCTTTTTTTGGTTTAGGGAAAGAAGTAGTCGCTTAAATTCTAAACGCAATTTGGTCGGTGGTCACTTGTTCCTTTCTGTTTTGTGTGAGAAACGAAACAATGCTTTATGATTATCTTCTTGTCATGTATTTGACTTTTTACAAGGTTTAAATGCATATTCTCTGACATATACGGCCCTATATGCCACAGACTCGTTTGGTTGTGTTTGTCCAAATGCTCTTTTCGTCGCTGCGTTTAAACCAAAGGGAAGAAAAATCGGATTAACTTGTGAACTGATGGAAATAAGAACTTAAACTGGATGTAAAGCTGGCCAGTGTCTCTTTGTGGGAACCGTTTCTAAAGCAATTAAAGCGAGAAGGAATTCCTCTCAGCTGCTCTTCGTCAAATCTGCTTTTTAGGGACCTAATGCGGGCTAATGTCCAGCGAGGCTCAAGGCTTCAATGCAAGTGTCAAGGGGCCTGGCCTGCTGCTATCAGGGCAATATTAGAGGATGCAGACCTTTGGGAATGCTCATGGTGTGACATGCTTTTAAATACACACGCTCAAAGGAATCATTATTCAATTACAGATTGTTATTGTTGTCTTAATCCAATTAGTTTGGATTAAAGGAAACGTAACTTTCAAACTACAATGTAATGTAACTATCAAATGTCTAAAATCTAAAAACGTGTTGCTCTATCATTTTGACATGTATTTTGGCCTCTGTCACATCTTAAGATAAGCTTTTTTTTTTTTAGAGAGAATATCATGTCTCAGCTCAAAGAGTCATATAGTGACTCACAGGGCTCTTTCTTACTAGCATCCAAAACATAACATGTTTTAAGATAATAATAATTGCATGTCATTATTCTTTCTCTCCAAACACAACAGTGATAAACTACTACTGTAGCCACAGCTGCCCTGGGACACACTGACAGAAGCGAGGCAACCAGTATGTGCCATCGGGGGTGAAGTGTCTTGCCTAAGGACACAACAGCAGTTTGGCACTTTACAGCCGCAGCCGCCCCACTGTGGCGTCAGGTGTTCCCAGAGGTTAAGTGTCTTGCCAAGGACACAACGACAGCAGACATCAGTGGGAGTCGATGGTGAAAGTCTTGAGTTGGGCTCGAACCCACGACCTTCTGGCTCAAAGGCCAATGCTCTACCAACTGAGCTACTGTCGCCTGATGAAGACGACATGTTGTGGTCTGGATGGATATTTTACTTTTAACTTAATTCTATGCAGAAACCATAATGTATTATTTATAAGGAGGGGTTGTGGGGTTATAGGTACCCCAAGTTTAAAGCACAGATTGTAATTGTTGAGCCAAAGTCTTATTCCAAGTCGTTTAGTGAATAGGTTAAGATAAACTTTATTGATCTCACAAAGGAGAAATGTAGTCGATCCATGTTTGTGGTTGTTGCTCCTGTGTTTGATGCCATATCGACCCTGTGCTGAACTGGTTTCTGTGCATCTTCCTCTCGTCACCAAACTTTGAGCAACTTTCCGATCCTCAAATTGATCTGTGATTTGGATGGATTCCCCTCTGCGTCGCATTGTTCTTTGAGGCGGCGTTCAGCTTTATTATGGAAAGCCCTCTCATCTCTCTCAGATGTGAGTTTTTCGTCTCTGCTCTCAATCATCCGTCCGCTCTTCTGCAGTCTCAAACTTTATCCCTGTATCAGGACTTTGGCAGCCGATTCCATGCTCAACTCCGGAGCTGGAGAGATTTATGAATCATGTTCCGTTTTTAATCAGGTTTATTACGCATGGATGTTTGTAATTTTACCACTTGAGTGGCTCTCCGTGTTTACAATCGGCATTTTGCATCAAGTCGAGTAGAAAGTTGATGCCTTCAGCCTTCGGAGCCCATTAACTTCTATCATTAGGTTTGTGTTAACTTCATGAATACATTACATTTCATCCAGGCTGCGGCGGCCTGCGCATGCTCTTAGTCAAGGTTAGCTTGTGCTCATTTGGGTGAAATTAATCATTTTGATGTATGCTTTAAGAGTTGACTGCTTTCCTGGGACTTGTGTGACTGGAGTAACAAAGCAACTCGCCATTAGCAATCTTCAGTGTCCAAACACAGAGCACATGTTAATTAAAGCTGAGGTGCCTATAGCTTATTTTTTATCTGAATAATAAATGTTACCTGTCCCAAAGAACGGGTCAAATCTCCTGAACAAACCAGACCATGACACGCGGTCCTCCTCTTATTAGAAAACATGCTCTCTTTTGTGGGGCTGCAATAAGTGAGAATACTGTGGTAATTTATTAATTGGAAGATTATTTTTTTTGATTAATTATTTAGTTGTACTGAATATATATATATTTTTTTTTACACTTTTTTTTCTTAATAATACTTTTCTAAACAGATTTTAATTTCATTCTGCAGTCATTATAGCGTAGTCTGAGTCATAAAACCTCTTCTCAGCATGTTCAAGTCTATGTAAGGATCAAAAAACGACTCATTTATTACTAATCAATTGTCTATTTAAATTATTGATTAGTTGTGATTAATAGATAATCAGGCCTAATCTTTTGCGTGTTGTTA